AAATATACCCTTAGTTTTCCTTTCATCCTTTGCCTTGCTCGTGAAACGTAAAGCTTTAACTGCTCCTTTTGATGACGTACATAGCGCTTGGTAACCACTTAACCGGATGTCGATTGTATATCGGCCAGTTAGGCAAGACCAACTGACAACAATGAATCGAAAAGTTAAGTCAGAGTGAAGCCACGTGTTTCTCGCTACAACTTTTCGTACCAAGGCGCCAATGAGTGTAGCAGCAAGCCATGCATGAAACGGATACGTGAAATCCTGTTGAAAGTAGCCGTATATCCAGGCAGGTGTGCAAATGATCACAAAGCACACCACTAGCAGAGTTTCTGCGCGCTCTTGTCCCTTGTAGTCGACCATGTCGGCGTCTACTCCAAATACAGAAATAACCTGGTAAGTAGTATACTATTCTGTTTTTACCAGCATTTTACATATATGCCTTTTTTGGTTAAGATACTAATCTTGTATACTTACTGTTTGTGTACATTTTTGTACACAAACAGAAAATGTACAGTTCACAATTAAATTCGTCTAGTAAGAAATATTATAACTAAAGTATATGGTGTAAAATAAAAAGAAGCCTTAGGAAATAAGGGAACCTAATTTTAATAAAATACATCGGTCTATGAAATGATGGAACTCTGTTGTGGTAAATGTGGGCTGCTAGTGGCACGACAAACAATTAAAACAGTTTGATCTAAATGAAGATATCCTGAATAAATGTCAATCTTGGAATAGAAGGGCAAACAAGATAATTAGATAGATTGCAGGCTCTCGCTTCCGCTCCTAGTAATAGCGTATAACTTTAAAATCTATGTGTTCAATAACGCAGACTTTTGGAGCTTTCGCTGTATCTTGCACAGCAACCCCGTCGCACTACCACAGCCAAGTCATGAAGGACTTCATCCTTTGACGAAGTAATCAGAAGATGTTTGCATTCCTATCATGGGGACAGTTAGATCAGCTTAGTCTTATTATATTAATTGTTAGCCCCGTAAAGACCAAGGAGCTGGAAGCCAGGGAGCCAGATGCGATAATCACTCGTCTGGAGGCTCTGACCAGCTTTGAGTAAATACTGGTCAGACACCTCCAGGAGTGCCTTAACCGGAAGTCGGTGAAGGAGCAGATTACAATCTACTGCAAAGCTCCCACGCTTTCAGGGGGGGCAAGGAAGAAAATTCTCTCTGCAAACAAAGATAGTATAGATGACCATAAATTCGGCCGTGCTCCAAATAGAACAACGGGGCGTCTTGCTTGCAGTCTCCCAGTCAAGCTCTAGCGTCCAGAGCCTGCAGAAGAGGAGTTTTTGTGTGAAATATTGAGGCAGCACATATCACGGATCACGGGTAAAATTGGTGTGTAGGGTGCGTTCGAAGCTCTTGTTCATCCGTCTGTGGTGTGAGAGTTAGGGGGCTATGATCCAGAAGTTAAGACCTCGTATCGCCACAATGACGTCAGACTTTGTATTGAAGGCGATAGCTACTATAATATTTATTATAGATCTTCGAAGCGGGGCCTCAGTTGAAAGTTTGTCTATATTATTATTTATAGACGTAATGCCGAAGCTGAT